AATTTCGTAGGCGCAAATTCAGAGTTACAGGAAATGAAGCAATTTTTACAAACCGCTGAAGACACTCTTGTCAATTCTTTCGCAAGCGAAGGAGTGTCCTGGCATTTCATACCTCCCCATTCTCCTCATTTTGGAGGACTATGGGAAGCGGGAGTCAAGTCCGCTAAGTATCATTTAAAGCGAGTACTCGCTAATTCATCTTTGACCTTTGAGGAATATTATACGGTATTGACTCAAGTTGAGGCCATTATTAATTCACGTCCTCTAATTCCTCTCTCATCTGATCCTGACGATCTCGAAATCATTACTCCCTCTCACTTTCTCCTCGGGAAGAATGCTACATCCCTGCCAGACCCAGATTTGACAGATATCCGAATGAATCGTCTCTCAAGATACCAATATATCCAGCAGCTGCAGCAGCACTTTTGGTCCCGATGGTCCAGGGACTATATTTCTGAACTTCAAACAAGATCAAAGTGGCAATATAATCAGGATAGTCTCAAAGTAGGCATGATGGTGGTAGTTCGGGATGATCACCTTCCACCTTTGAGATGGCAATTGGGCCGAATAGTAGGCTTACATCCAGGCCGCGATGGAATATCACGTGTGGCCAGTATCAGAACACAAGGAGGTGTGATAAAGAGGGCATTCTCAAAAATTTGCCCACTCCCCATTGAAGGATCTACAGAAAATGCATAGATGCAGCTATGAATTTTTTTTGAAAGGCAGTGCTTTCAACGTGGGGCCATGTTCAAGTTTCTGTTATCAGTTTTCTCCACTTGAAAACGCACTGTATCATTCTGCTCGTGTGTGCCAGAGACAGACGTAACCATGAGGACAGTTGTCATATGAATGTCATGTTTTTTTGTTAAATAAATAGAATCGAATCTAGAAAAGAAAGAACTGTAAAACCGAATTCGAAATAAACTCTTATCATCAAAGATTTTGAATACAGTCCACTTAAACACTGAACATAACAATGGATGGACTAATCATCTATTATATTGTGACAATATTTCTAATTTGATGATGAAAATGAGAGCAGATTCATTTCCGAACGCACAGGTAGGTTGATATTTTAAAATTTTCAAATTCGATTTGAATATTTCAAGGACATATTGTTGGGATCAAAATAAGACTTTTTCTTTATATAAACATGTGTCCCAAAAGGTACCTACCGAATTCTTCTGCACCAAATATTTTTCTATTAAGGTACAATTGATTGAATTTCTCTTTCAGGTTTCAAACAGACATGTGAATCAACTGATTTGTCCTTGCTACTAGTATTTCTATTGAAATTATATCCTTATATTCTTATTCATAGAGACGAGGACAGAAAATATCTTGGAAAATATAAAGAATGGAAGATAGTTTGACCCGTTATTTTCAGTCACACTTTTTTGTCTATAGATAATCATCAACCCACGAGAAATATCTACCAGGCCAATCACGTCAATGTTATATGCATGTATTTCCATGTTTTTAGTTATTATTAATTTCCACATACGACAAATTCATTCTGATTAAAAATTGCTATATTCCGATGGGTTTTTCAGGTCATCGTACCATCAATTCAGTAGAGGATAAAAGGAAAAGTCTGATGGAATAAGAAAGTGTTGTTAGGTACCAAAAAATGCCGATTCTCAACTCTTGAATAATATTATACTATATAGTCAGACTTTGGCAACGGTATTTTCAAGTTTTTTTTCAATAATTCATCATCCTGATGAATATGTCGAAGGTGAAATGTTGTAGAGATTAGGATATTTAAATCTGTACAAAATGCATATCTATAATTTTTGAGGTAGGTATAGTTAAAAAATAATCTACATGGATGGGAAAAATTTTAACAGCTTGAAGTCACTCTCATAATATAATTTTCTATGATTTGATGTTAATCTAAAATGCATAGACATGCCGATTTTGATTTTGTAATCAAGCAGGAATTCATTATTCAGTTTTTCAGATAGAAAGCTGATTATTATGTTGATCAAATATGCAAATTCAAACATATATCTCAGTAAGATACTATATCGAAATAGTACATTATACACCAAGGGAATGAAGTGGTATTTCAAATGCCTAGGCAAAAATTTTATAGCCCACCCGTTGGTTGGGCTATATTTCGTCGAGAGAGCTTTAGAAACTTAAATCACTTTAGTCCCGAGGTGAATATACTATTTTATGCACTTCAGGATAGGTGAAACCTTAAATGAAAAATAACGAAAAAAAATTTGAATGCTACTAAACGGTAGAGAAGAGACATTCGCCTGGTGGGTGACGCCACACTCTCTCACCCTTTGACATCATTGGAACACCGTAGAAAGGTCGGCGACCTTTCACTTTTCTATCGATACTTCCACGGGAAATGTTCTTCGGAAATCTCTGCTATCATCCCTTCACTAGCAATACCAATCAGACGAACTAGACAAGCCCAGTCAGCACATCCTTTCGTTGTCAATATCGAAAGATGTCGAACAGCACTTTATCAAGACTCCTTTACCCATAGAACGGCTAGGCTCTGGAATTCATTGCCTGTGGAAGTATTCCCAACAACATATCATCTCCAGAAGTTCAAAAAAAATTCCAATACCTACCTCCTGTCCCTATCCTCCCTAGGAACGCACGATGTTCTTTGAACATTATGGGGATTCCCTTTCGTGCGCTCCAAGCGATAAAAAAAAATCGAAGGGGCTGATTGGTATCATATCAACGAACTCAGTAACTATGGTGATCCAGATCATGATTGTCATTGGCAACTGAAAATCTTGGTGTGTTATGACAAGTAACTAGGTAAAACATAAATAAATAAAAAAATATTAGTCAAACACGCCACACCGATTGAAAGAAGTTGATCGCGATGGAACAAATCGAAAAGGCAGCTCAAGAAGCTGAAAGCCATTTATTACCAAGAAAATCTGTAGGACAATATTAGGAAAAACAGTCATCTGAGTTTATCAAATGGTGCAAAGAATGGATCTTTGAAAAATGTACAGGAGAAAAGGTACTGCTAGCATATTTCTTGGAAAGTCAAAAAAGCTTAAAGCATCGTCATTGTGGATATTCGATATTCGATGATGAAAGCCACAAGTCCAACATACATTTTGAAAATACATTTCTAAATTCAGCTTTTATCGTAATGGAATTCACTTTGAATCCCTAGGGATTCAAGGTACCACTTTTTCCCCCCCGAAAATAGGGAATAAAGGTACTTTAAACCCCTGAAGTGCATAAACATACATTCTTCAGTACCTAAGTATTCATTTAGCATATTTCCACCTCATGTTCTTGATGTATCTATGTACTTTCGGTGAATATGTTCTTAGAATAAGTAGTGCAGACAGCAGTTGCCTCTTGTTGCAGTGGTAATGAACGATGATTAGTCGTCAATGAGACTGGCTGTTTTAACTGTAATATCGCACGAACCAATTAACCATATAATTGATTATGAGGAAAAGGACCCCCATCAAGCTAGCAGAACCACTTTAGATTTATAAAGTTTTTCTCCGGATATAATTTGAGGCTAATTCAAGGCTGATTTTATTGGGTTCGTCTCGTATGACCCAATTTTCGATTCGCCCAATTTTCGATTCACCTAATTTTCGATTCACCCACCGTCTCCGAACATACCCGAAAGATGCGTTGTTGTCAAATAATGCCACATTAAGGTTAGGTAGTTTGGAGAAGGTAGTCTCGTTCCTTATGCAGAAAAGAATATTTTCGATCGAAATTTGGGTCCATCGAAATGTGGGTGAACCGAATTTGGGGCGAATCGGGGGCAAATCGAAAATTAGGCGAATCAAAAATTTGGTGAATCTAAAATTGGGCGAATCGAAATATGTACATATTATGTGTATAAAAAAATTGATATATTTAATTATGATAAGCCCAAAATTATTCTTCATTCAGATATGGCAACAACGCATCGTTCGGGTATATTCGGAGATGTGGACGAATCGAAAATTGGGCGAATCGAAAATTGGGCCAATAAAAAATTTGGTGAATCGAAAATTGGGCCAAATACAACCTACCCGATTTATTACCCTATTGCTGAATTTATTGCTCTTCGATTTATTTTTGTTATTGTATTGTCATGTTCATGTTAGATTTGGAAACATTTTTGATGAGAATGATCAGCAAAAAAATTTATGATAGGTTCAATGAAGAGCCCTGAATTAGCCTAAAAATATGTTGTACTCAATATTCTTTTATTCCTTCTATTCGAGATTTGCTTCTGCTAGCTGGTTAAACAATGTGCGAAAAAAACGAAAATAAGCTAGGATTGAAGCCTGGAATCAGCCCTAAATTATGGTATGAAAAGTTTTGTGATTGAACATTAACTTAAGAATTGGTTCTGATAGCTTAACGTTAAGATAGCAGAACCTACGTTTTTCATGTATAATTCGATGGAATAGATGCTGCATTAGGGTAATAAATTAATAATTACCTCGATAATTACAAAAAATATTTCTGAAGGAAATATCCCTCTGGAAAAAAAGCTGGGAGTTTCCAGTCCGACCTCTGGAAAGTTATCACCAAATTTGTACGGCAACATGGTTGTTTGAAACACTCGCAGGTCACTGATGATGATCAAAAACATCTCAAAACGTGACTTACAGTCACAGGACATGCCATGTCAAAAATTATGAAAATCGATCTTTTTATGAGCAAAATTATTTTTTTCCAAAAAAACTTCAACGCCTTGTACCAACTCAACGAGACGATTTTGGATGTAGGTAAGTTGGCCGAAATCAACTTGTTTTTATCCCAGGAGTCCACAGCCGAGACATGTCCCAACCTTTTACAGACACCCTGTATATATCCATTTTTTTGTGTTCATAAATATATCTGAGAATATTCCTTTTCGTTTCTATTTCCTCGAATCCTTCGTACACACCAATTCTAGAGCATGGAACAACACTGGATACGGTGCAGCCAGACCCATCCCCAACCTAACCTCAAACCCGCCACCTGTTGCCCACCACCTGTGGCCCACTCACTTGTTGAACAGCGTCTCGAGCAGCTGCGCCGAATGGGGCAGCCCGTCCGCCAGCAAATCGAGGGGCAGCTCGCCCGCCACCGCGGCCACCGCCCCCGGGCCCAGCTTCTGCAGCGCGGCGGCCGCCTCCCGGAACTGCCGCCCCTCGGAGAGCACCACCACCCTGCGCAAAACGAGGCGCGGGCTGGACGGCGAGGCGCGTTCGCGCCGGATGCGGTCGTTGCTTTCGCGCATCTTCTTCGGTCGGAGGAAGGAAGAAGAATGGCGAGAAGAGATGTGGAGAAGTTGATGGTGGTCGGCTGGTGGTATCGGGGGACAGGACCGGCGTAAGGTTTGATCGGGAACGCTCGGATCTATAACACCGCATCGCCATGATCCGGAAGGCCAGTCAGTAGTAGTACACAGTGAAAAAAAAATTACACCAGTTCACACCAGCTAACACCCTTGGGTGTCCCCTGAGGTCCTGATCATTTTAGTAGGAATTAACTCTGATATTTTTAACACCATCATAGGGTGTCATTCGTTCTTACATACAGTCAAGAACTACACTAGAGTATCTAGAGCTGATTTGATCGATTCGTGTTATTCAACACCAGAGTGGTGACTGTACAATCATTTGGTGATTATTTTGACACTGTATCTGTTGCGTTCTTGCTTTTACTGATGATATTATGATAATATGTGAATATTCGTCGGATATTTTTCTGCTGTGAAAACACACTTATCGAGTGTTATCACGCTGAGAATCAGTGTTTTCTTGTATGCATCTGAGTGTTGAATAACACGACTCTGATATACTAACACTAGTATTCAGTGTATAAAACGATTCAATGTAGTGAGAATTGTGACTTACAAAACATCTCTGAGCTGATACTATTTGTAGGCTGTCGAGAAACGTGCGTCGAAAGAGCGCTAGTGTCACCATCTATCAAGAAACTCACTAAATATTTTTCTGTGCACAAAATTTCTACTTCGATATTCAATTTTATGTTCAATCTGGTTCGATATATAAGTACTCTTTATCGCTTCGCAATATAAAAATCATCATATATAATTTATGAATCAGCTTAAAATTTATTTAATGCATTATTTTCACGAAATCATCCGTTCTTATTGTCACCTATCAATCTGGATGCCAGAATTCATGGATGATGATATACCTACACAATGTTGATCCATTCTTCAATGAGTTCAGGTTTTTCAGTGGGTAATTTCCGGTAATTTCATTATAAGCAACATTATTTATTCACATGGGAGAATGCAAGACGATGAGGAAACTATATTAGCCCCAAATCTCATAATTCATAAACGGTTCTGATTTGTTTGTGATTGGTGAGGGTGTAACTAGGTGATGATTTCATATAATAAGTGTATTTTTTGCGATAACTTGGATAATACCACTATCGAAAGTAATCACTTTTCATCCTATTGGTGTTTCTCTTGAATGGATATTTCAGTAACCCTCTAAATTATCACATCCGTGTAATTTCTCACTAAGACTGTGTGAATTGACACCACTGTACACGGTATTATCAAATTTCTAGTAATATTGGTATGATATTGCTTATCAAGTGTTGATTCAATCGGAGTTATTTCTGAAATCCACTCGGTTGACACTGTGTAGTAGTAGAAGGTTTTTTTTATGTACTAGGTTCCCACGGAAAGGGATATCCTGTAATGTTCAGAGAACATCGTGAGAACCAAGGGAAATGAAGTAGGAATTGGTGTTCTTCTTGAATTTCTGGAAGTTATATGCCTCTGGGAACACCTCCCTTGGCAATGTATTCCAGAGCCTTGCTGTTCGTTGGATGAACGAGTCTTTGGAAAGAGATGTTCTGCAGGTCTCCAAAGTGACCACGAGGTGCGAAGCCTCAACTCGACGGGTTAATCTCGCGGAGACTGCCAAGGGAGGACCAATTGTTGATATTTCAGTAGAGCATCGTCCATAAAAATATCTATAAAATAGAGCCAGATCGCCAACTTTTCTACGGTGTTCCAAAGAAGTGAGTGGGTGAGTGGGTTGGTGAGCAATGCATCACTCACAAGACGAATTGCCCTTTTTTGGACAGAATCCAACAGTTTCAGGGTATAGTTGGGTACTGCACTCCAAATATGGGAACAGTATTCCAGGACAGGTCGGATCTGTGCCTTATAGATCATAAGCAGCTGACTGGAAGTGAAATAGCTCCTGGCCCGAAACATAAATCCAAGTTTTTGGGATGAACTTTTAGCAATTGATCTCACGTGATTTTTCTAAGGAAGGTTATTGCTGATAGTAATACCAAGCATCGGAGTGGATGTCTTCAAATGTATAGTTACTCCTGACAAGCTTATGTTGGGCACAGTGAGATCGGCTTTTCTAGAGAAAAGGCATGCTTGTGTTTTGTTTGCATTGAAATCTACCAAGTTATTGGATCCCCATTTGAGTATTGTTGCCAAGTCCATATTCATGTTGTCAACATTTCTCCCTCGTTCGTTTCTGATTTGCCTGGCTGGTATTGGAGCCCTGGAAGAGAAGACGGTATGGAGGGTACTATCATCCGCGAAGCTGTGTGCTGGACATGAAGTTGCTTTCAACAAATCGTTGATATGGAGTAGAAATATTGTTGGTGCTAGAATTGGTCCATGCGGATTTGCGGAACACCAGCGGAACTACGTCGACCACTACATGGGGAGACCTGTTTGAGAGAAAACTAGCTAGCAGAGAACATAGCTGGGGAGGCAAGCCATAAGATGGAAGCTTGGCGAGGAGTCCGAGGTGCCAGACTAGATCGAATGCCTTGGAAATATCAAGAGCCATGGCTAAGGTTTCACCATATTTTTCAATAGATTGCTGCCATATTATGAGACGTAGTAGGAGGCTGTAGCCAAGCAAGTAGGCCCCGATGAGCCATTTTTGCTAACCCCTGCTATCCACATATCTACGCTTCCTTCACCTGGATTTCCTTTATGAATCTCCCTGACCTTCTTCATGAACTCCTTGGCCTGCCTGCAACCTGTGATATTCCTCCAGTATTCTCCTAGTGCCTTGTCCACCCATTCATTGAAGGCTGACGTAATTTCCTTGCTATACCTAGTACAGGTTCTGGTCTGGATTGTCATAAAATTATTTCGTCTATCAACTTATTTTCTGCCGAATATCCCTCGGACATTGACAAATGCCTCATGATTTTATGACAAATTTCTCTAGCTAGCAACGGCTTGTCTTCGGCTTCGAGCTCTGTTACCAAGGAACGAGCTTTCGGTTGTCATAAAATTATCTCGTCTATTATCAATGTCCTAGGAATATTACTACTGAAAATAAATGTTGATAACTGCATTCAGTGCAATTATCATTCCCTATGACAACATGATCGACTTTGACAACTTCAAATTATTCTCCGCCGAATATTTTACCGGGCATTAACAAATGCCTCATAATTTTTTCACAAATTTCTCAAGCTCGTTGCTTGGTGACAGCTCGAAGCCGAAAGAACCAGTTTCAGATCGTCATAAAATCACCTATTATTAATGTCCAAGGGATATTACTACCGATAAATGCTCAAATACCAGCCAGTGCTGTAACTTCTGAATCATTCGAGATCGGACTTTGAAAATTGGTGAGTAGCAAGTCTACCAAATCACTCAAAAATCGACGAAATAATGTTTGTTTTATCACTTCCAGGTTCACCGGAAACGACTCCAACTTTTGATTTTCAAACGAGACACTCTATATTTCATTTCATAATCATTTAGAGATCATCATAGCCAATTCAACGATACCGGGATTGATTGAGTTATTTCAGACGACTACGAATATATTCGCGTTCCAAGTTTCCATATGCTCAAAGAGTGTGACAGACCCGATAGCGTTGAATTTATCATGATGATTCCAAACCGAATATGGAATAAAATACAGGGTGTCCCATTTAAAAATTGAAAGTTGGGATATAATAAAGTTTATTTTGTCAATGAATGAACAATTTGGTATATCTGATGTCCACCAATTTTCGTAATCCGATTTTAAATGATTAGGAAGTTACAACACTGGCCGTTTACGGTGCACTTCTCTGTACTATTAGGAGAAGAACACGCTGAATTATGTGTTTATCTTTTCATTGCATCCACTTATCCGCTGGTCCTTGAGCCGGTCCTGGCTAATCGTCGGTATAAACCTGGTATGAATGATAATGAACTTGATAGAACTTGAACTTGTTGTATTGTTTTCATAATTCGTTTCGTCTTCTCTTCACATCTGCATTTCTTCGTGTGATTATCACACATTACAGAAACAAGTGGGTAATCGGTTTTATCAAAATGAGCGATTCACGATAATCTGTCATCTGCCGTGAATTTCAGAATATCTGTTCGGAGAAAGTGTGAGAGATGTTATTTCTCTTAGCCTTCGGGCACTACAGATGGGACAGTGTCCGTTTCTTTTCCATTTCGAAGGGTTCGGTTTGATCCGGCACACCCAACATACTGACCCACTTTTTGGTTTTAGTTCAAAAAATATATGGATACCTATTACCTACTAGGTACTCTCGAACTTTTAACAAAAATGCTTGGAAGAATATCATTTGCATTTGGCATAATCGAACAGCAGGTGCAACATTTATATTTATACAGGGTGTTCAATGAAATTCAGAACAGTCTCAAATACTATCGATTCCAAACAGTCATTAAATACTGATGAAGAGAAGACAAATTTTCCCCCCAATCGAATATACAGGGTGAGTCATGAGGAACTGTACATGCTCCTACTACGAATAGAGGCATCTGAGGGGAATACCAAATGACCATCAGAAAGTGTCTCCGCCTCTTCTAAAATAATCTATAGGGTGATTAATGAGATATGACAAAAACTTCTTTCAATCATAACTTTCCAACAGTTCTTTCGATTTCTTTCATTTTTTCATGGATTATCATGCTGTCACTCAGAAATCAACTGACGTATTCAGAATCGTGAAAATCCAGGACCGGTCTTGAGAAATTCTGCCAATTTGGTCCATATAAAAAATTTCACCCTGTATGAGGTTTTAGTAAACTGTGATATGGAATTTCTGAAGTTGATGAACAAGCAACTAAAATGAAGTATTTCAAATTTTCCTCACAATTTCATTGAATTTCTTAAAAAATGATTAATTTAAACTACACACGAAACTTGGGCAATAAATGTATTAATTTGAAAATTAATACTTCGCAACGCATGAATTTCACGAATGAAAGTAGGGATAATATCATTCTCAATTCTTCAGCTCAACAATAATCAACATTCTTCTATTTCCAGGGTTGGATTCAGTAATTTTTTAGCAGAGAGTAATAATCACCAAAAATTACACCCTGTATATGGTTTTAGTAACCTGTGATATGGAATTGTCAAAGTTGATGAACTGGCAACCAAAATTAAGTATTTCGAATTTTCCTCAGAGTTTCACAGAATTTCTTAGAGTACGATCAATTTTCACTACACGTGAAACTTTCGCAACAAATGTATTAATTTGAAAATGAATACTTCGCACCGCTAGAATTTCACGAATAGAAGCAAGAATAACATCATTTCCTATTCTTCAGTTCACTGAAAATCAACATTCATCTATATCCAGGGTTGGATTCAGTAAATTTTTGGTACATGGTAATAATCACCAAAAATTGCACCCTGTATATGATTTTAATAAACTGTGACATGAAATGTTCGGAGTTGAAAAACAAGAATCAGGAATAATTTTACCCTCACTTTTATTCGTGAAATTCATGCATTGCGAAGTATTAATTTTGAAATTAATACATTTGTTGGCCATGTTTCGTGTGTAGTTTAAATTAATCATTTTCTAAGAAATTCAATGAAATTGTGAGGAAAATTTGAAATACTTCATTTTGGTTGCCTGTTCATCAACTTTAGAAATTCCATATCACAGTTTACTAAAACCTCATACAGAGTGAAATTTTTTATATGAACCAAATTGGCAGAATTTCTCAAGACCGGTCCTGGATTTTCACGATTCTGAATACGTCAGTTGATTGCTGAGTGACAGCATAATAATCCAAGAAAAAATGAAAGGAATCGAAAGAACTGTTGGAAAGTTATGGCCATATCCCATAAATCACCCTATAGATCATTTTAGAAGAGGCGGAGACACTTTCTGATGGTCATTTGGTATTCCCCTCAGCTGCCTCTATTCGTAGTAGGAGCATGTACAGTTCCTCATGACTCACCCTGTATTATAGAGTATATGTATGTGTGTATACAGGGTTTCCCGAAATTAGCCTGTCAAACTTCACCAGCGGCTTCTTCGACCAAAAATAGGAAGAAAAGTTTCAATGAAGATAAGTCGAGAAATGTCTCATAAGGGAGCTACGGTCACCCTGAAAGGGAAAGGGAGCTACTGAAGATGCTATTTCTTGAATATTTACGAAACGCCACTGATAAAATGATAAACTTTCCATTCCCAATGCGCTGGACATAGAACCATTACAAAGTTTCTTCAGGAGTTTATACTACACTGAATATTGCTGAAATATGTTGCTGAAACTGTTTTGTATTTGTATTTTTATGATAATGTAATCTCGGATTATGGAACGTTTCACAATAAGAAGGTGCTCTTGTTTCGCATTCCGCATAGATCAGATGTATCATTTTCGAGTGAAATTGATTTAAAAATATTGATACACACATCTTGAACATAACGTTACCAATTTTCAAATGATAGTGGCTAGAAAATTACTTTCTTTTCACCAAACAATCTCATAGAAGCGTGAAAAATAGGGAAATGATGATGAAAAAACTACTCCAATTTTTGTGCATTTTTTTTTCCATTTCTACTTCGACTCATTGCATTGTAATGCATAATATCTGAGATGTAACAATATTTTTGAATCGATTTTTCTCGATGATGAAACATCTGATCGTCACGGAACAAGAGTACCTTCTTTTAGTGAAGTGCAGAACATTCTGTTTCTGAAACCACTCTGAAGGCCTTCAAAAACACTGTCTGCGATCCCGAGACCATTCAACAATCAGGACAGCAGTATCTCGTCGCTCTTTACGGTGATACAAGGTCTGGAGCATCACTCAATACTGAGCGATACAAGCAATATGTAAAGTCAGGTTCAATATTGCTAGTAGGTAAGCTGTGGTATATCACCAAGTTCAGGCATGGCTTGGCAACACCAAAAACCCTTTGCTCTGGGGATGGTACTTGACAAACAGCGGATTGATGCCAAGAACAACCATACAACCGTATGCACCAGACAAGCTGTTGCATCTTGTTGCCTACAAATGCATACAAGATTGTAAACGAAACTGCGGCTGCAGAAAGGTCGGGTTGTTCTGTTCCAAAATCTGCAAATGCTGTGAGAGCTATTGCAGCAACAGTCAGATGTATTCCGACTATGCCAACAATCTGGATGATGAGCATGAAGAGGCTGTGCAGGACTTTGCTGATGGTGAAGAAAGTAATTAATCGTTCACATATGTGAATATTTTCTTGGAAAACTCAAGAGCTTGACTATTTTTTCTTGAACACAAATAGGTACTCAAACGATGTAACTGTGATATTTTTCAGAAGTCCTGCCTAGTTCTGGTATCGGGAATGACGAGCAGGAGGCTACTGAGAAATTGCCAGAAACCTCGTATGAAACTGAAGGTATCAATATTTCTGTTCATCTATAACCAACATATCACCAGTCACAACAAACATTGAATATAGATGTTTATTATTAGGTATCTCTTTTGTGTTTCAGAAGAACAGTCTCACTAACTGCACTAAATGAATTTTTGGATGATTGTCTATTTATTTTTAACCGTACAACCATGAGTGTCTTTTCAAGCAGAAAGTCTGAAATACGAATATTTTGAATAACATGAAAACCATGGTCAATCTTCATAGCGCTCTAACGGCTGAACCAGATGAGTTCGCGAACTGATTTTCATCTCATTTTTTTGTAAATTCCATTTGCTGTCATTTTCATCTGAGCTAATATTTTTCTATATCGAGTCGTTTCGGAGTTATGAGAGAAAAACTAAAACAACTTCTGATTCTTCATAATTTTTTGCAAATTCGATAACTGAATTTTCAGATTTAGCATCCCAAAAAACATATGGATCCGTTGAGAAAAAATCTTTAGCAATTTTTTCCTGTCCAAACTACCAAATGATTGGACTATAATAAGTATTCCTAGTTTACTTTCTAGGCGTATGAAATTCCTTAATCCATATAGTTATAGTAAATTTTAGATCTCATCAGTTGGACCGATTTTTGGGCAAGCAAGCGGACAGTCATTCCAGTGTTCAGAACAATTGAGTTATCGCAACTGATTGGACATGGAAGTTATTTTTTGAACTGTCCGATGCTTTTTACTGGTACTCAAGTTTTCCGTCTTTTCTAATTTTTTTGCGATAACGACTCTCGTTCTTCTTCTTTCTTCTTTCTTCTTATTTTCTGTGTTGCCCCTGAGGCGGATGCATTTCACCAGCAACGAGATCGAGTTGGCATTTTTATCGGGCAATTATTTTTCATTGACATGATTTCGCGTTTGAAATCGAACAGCGAAAAAAACGATTTCTTCTTACTTTGTTGCTAATTACGGTGCTAGAAATGTTTAAATTGTAACCGTTTTGGAATATCAACAACTTTGCTAGTTCTCAATGAAACCAACTGCTTTCTTTTCATACATCAACAACGATGTACAGGGCATTTACTATGTCTCCACTTATTATTGGGGAGTGTGGAGACATGGTAAAAATAGGAACCTATTTTGAAAATCAACATTTGAATAAGTAGTTCATACTTCCTTACATACATTTGGGGCCATTAGTTTATACATCAAACTATACTTATTTTTCAATGAACTATCACCACCAGAAACCTCGATACAAATTTTTGACTCACCCTGTTTATGTATTATTCTGAGCATTTCTTGATTTTTCATGAATAACTCGGTGGAGGTTTGAGTTAGATGTTGAAAATAGTAGCATTTGGAAAAATTTTAGTTTTCAGCAATTTCTCAATGCCACATTGACGGTCATATCATAATATGGTATACAATTTGGAGCTCTTATTTTGAAAGATCTGCGAGACAAAAATTATTTCGTAAATACTACACGGCAGTCAAAATCTTCAACAAAATCGACATATCTCGAACACTGTGACAGAAAAGTTGTCTAAACTCAGAATTAGAAGGCCAATCGGACCGAACGGATGGTGAAGATTTTACATTCGCCTTGGGATTCCATCAAGTAACGGCCAAGTTAATTCAAAATTTGACTAGCTTTTTGGCCACCTGTTACTTTGAATTCATTCTTCGTTGCGCCATAACGAACCAAAATATTTGGTTCTTCAATATCTGCATTTGTTTGTCCAAAATTTATGCAATTAAAAACGTCAAATCAAAGAAGTGCAGCACAGTGCGGTTTAATAGCAGGAAAAAACTTCTGACATTTTACTTAACTATCAATGGGCGTGTACACCTTAGTAGAACTTTCAATTCAAACCATGTTTATAATGATCCTTTTATACATAAATAATGATTGACGACATAATTCGATCGAAAAATTAACTGGAATGTTTTATTTTTGGACATAAATAATAGAACCTTTCAAAAACGGACCCTCTTATGACGTAGAAACCTCATCTCGCCATAGTTAAAAGAAAATATCAAACCCCCAAGGGAGACTGAGGCAACTGATATATTAATTCTTTCAACTGTGATCTCGCCCTAATTCACTCTGTCAGAAATCAGGAATCGTTCATCTCTGTCTGGAATAATCTTGTTTTAGTATTAGGGTTTTGACGTCACATCACCGCCTCGTTTTCAGAGGTCCGAAAAATCGGGGATTTCAATAATTTTTTATAAAACGTAGGGAGCTCACAGCAAGAAACGGTTTGCGGTGGTGAGCTAGTTTGGGTGAGTTCTATCGAATTATGAAATAAATTGTTTTTGTAATATAAGCCCATTAGACCTCAATAGTTCACCACTGTTGAATTCGTTCTCTTAATATGTATTTGCTATCAACCCTTTCAAGTTTATTCAGTACACCGTAATTTCATGTAGATATTTGTGCCTAATTTCCGAAAATGAAGGTTTAGCGAACCTGTCTACAGGTAGCTAATCCTTGAGGTTGGGAAAGTAGGATATATAAAAGTTGAGCAAGCCAAGGTTAGTTTAGTTCATTGAACCAGTATATTACCTGACGAAGCTACTGTGTTAGCGAAACATGAGAATTTTGTGGAAATCTTATCGTTTGTGGAGTTTTTACATTTGCCATGGATTTCCATCAAGTAACGAATCGATTCAAAATTCGAACGGATTTGATTTGAAACAAGACAGTTGTTGCCGCTTCTGGCAAGGAAGGTGTTCCCCGAGGCATATAACCTCCAGAAATTTAAGGAGAACACCAATTCTTACCTTATTTCCCTTCGTTCTCACAATGTTCTCTGAACATTACAGGATATCCCTTTTCGTGAGAACCAGAACATGAAAAAACACTGTATAGCTACTGAAAATATTTCAGAAAGACTGGAAATAATCGATTACCTATAGCATACCAATTTCCAAGTTTTTAATCCAACTCATGCAAGCAATAAACCTATCGTTTCTGAAATGAGCCAATTTCACTAATCAAAAGAGAGTTTCTCTAATAATTTTTATTCATGAATCACTGCATCAAATACCATTTTAATACATGGAAAAATCATCAATATGAAATGTGTAGTACAGCTCCATTGTGATTTGATACATTCAGCAATCTGACTCCCATATTAACGTCAGTAGGCATCGGCTATTGGATTACTCTGAATGACCATAAACTAGCTTATATTATCAATTTCGCTGTTTGCAGCCAACAAATCGTATATTTATCGTGTCAACAAATAGAAATTGAAACGGCGATTGGCCTCCGGATCGAGGGACGAGTAAAAGTAGATATTTACTACGATGAGAATGTGTGTAAACAGGTTATTCACAATTTTTCGGATCCTACTCTATAGGTGGGATGGGCAATAATTTCCATTTTTGTCAGGTGCATCGATACCAACTATGATGAAGATAGCGACTACCCAACTTGAAATCAGTAAACGTCAATGGCGAGTGGACTTATAATGAATTATTGGCATGCAATTACTCCACTGTGTCGTTAAGGACCTGAATTAATTTTCACAACCTTACTCATACTTTTTTTAGGTTAATAATTAATGTATGCGCTGTTCAAAATTGTTGAATTTCGGAGCTCATTTCAAACGTACCGTCATGGCCACCATTTTGACGATACGTCGAATAAGTACTAGTCACTAGTACTTAACTTATTCGACGTTTAGGGTGACCAGATTTTGAAAATGAAAAAAGAGTATATCCACTATAAATAATTATAACAAATATCAAAAGCGCCGCAGGCGATTTTTTTTCATTTCTCAAGGTCAAATGCCTTTAAATTGAAAATTAGATTTCCTCCTACCTTTGAAACAACTGCCCATTTTTACCAATATCATGAGTCAAAAAATTAAAAAGTAAAACAAAAAATATAAAGAAAATATATTTACTGATTTCAGTAAAACAGGTACAATTCAGGTACATAAATTAAAATATATTTCTCTTCGTCTACACTATAACTAAAGAACATCTCGTGGAACTGGACCAAGAAAGATACCTAATGCAAAATATTTTCTAAGAATATTTTTGCTCCAAACACGAATGAAAAAGAGAAGAGTTGGTGAAAAGTGACATAATGTCACGAACACACAGGGTACAGGAGCCATGGACATAGAACAGAAAGCACAGATCACAAAATCTCAGATTGAAAGAACCACAGAACATCAGATGACATCGGTTTTTTCATCTTGCCTACTTATCATCAACAAATTTTGACTATAAACCATCTAATATGGTCCGACTTCGAAAAAAGAGGACATTTACGTCCCAAATGGAAAAAGATAGAGTACGATGACAGCAGCCTCAAAAAAGAGTACTTGTACTATAAAAAGAGTACGTCTGGTCACGACGGTGCGATTCTATTCAAGATTGGTATCTGGGGGTTTTCGGGGTCGGAGATTATGATTTATTCGTCAGAAATTGGAAATTCAAAATGACGAATGAGTTTTTTAATTATGATCTGATTCTATTCAAAATTGGTATCTGGGGGTTTTCTGAGTCGGAGATTATAATTCTTTCGTCAAAATTTGGAAATTCAAGATAGCGGATCCAATATGGTGGAGGAGTTTTCTAATTATGATCAGCTTGCATTAAAAATTTGTATCTGGGAGTTTTTGGGGTCGGAGA